AGTTGGAAGTGATTTCCCTATTTCAATGTTATAAAAGATTTTTCCTGTGTTTTCTTCCAGGTCTCTTATGGTTTCATGTTTTACATTTAATGTCTCTGATTCCTTTGGAGTATCTTGGTTTAAGGGTAAGTTATGGACCCAATTTTATCTCTTTCCAGATGGCTACTCACTATTCACTAAAAGGTCTACCTTTTATAACTACACTTGTGGTGAGCATAGCATAAAGATGAATCACTATGTTGTGCACCTGAAACTAATGTAACATTGTGTGTCAATTATACTCAAATAAAAAAAAAAGTCTACTTCTTAAATGCCAGTTGTCTCAAAACCATTTTATTAAGATGTCCACCTTTTGTTCTGCATGGAGCACTGGGTGTTATGCACAAACAATGAATCATGGAACACTACATCCAAAATTAATGATGCAATGTATGGTGATTAACATAACAATAAAAATTTTAAAAAAATATGTCCACCTTTTCCCTCCTGATTTGAAATAATGCCTTTATCATATACTAAACTCCTGCATACATCTGGGTCTATTTCTGGATTTCCTTTTCTGTTCAGTTGGTCTGCCTTGTTCTAATAAAATTTTACTGTGTATTATGTAGTTTAAATAATCCCTTTTATTGTTTTTCCTTTCAGAGTTTTCCAGATTATTTTTGTTTTGGCTCTTTTCTTTTCTATTCTATTCTATTCTATTCTATTCTATTCTATTCTATTCTATTCTTCTATTATTTTTTATATGTTCAATTAGCCAACATATAATCAATATGAACTTTAGAATGAGCTTATCTAGATTCCTCTAAAATCTTGAAGGCACTTTTTATGGGATTACATTACATGTTTATTAGGGACACTGACATCTTGGTATGTCCATTTATTCAAGTTTATTTTTTTGTCTGTCAGAGTGTTTTTTTTTAATTTTTTTTAAATTAAAAAAATTTTAAACTTTTTTTAAAAGATTTTATTTATTTATTTGAGAGAGAGAGAGAGTGAGAGAGAGTTCATGAGAGGGGGTAAGGTCAGAGGGAGAAGCAGACTCCCCACTGAGCAGGGATCCCAATGTGGGACTCGATCCTGGGACTCCAGGATCATGACCCGACCCGAAGGCAGTCACTCAACCGAGCCACCCAGGTGCCCCTGTCAGAGTGTTTTAAAATTCCTCATGCAGGTGTTGCACATTTCTTGTTAAAAGTTTATTTCTAGTGCATTTAATTTTGCTCCCTAACTGTTTTGAATTTCTCTTCCATTTGAACCCTGTATCCTGATGGCAGGGCTTTATTTCAAGCAAGCATTGGAGTGTGTGTGAGTCATAAGGTGATTAATTTTGGCTGTGTGGAGATTGGGGGAAGGCAGGGAAGTGTTCTGCCTGGCTTGTTTCTAGGTGGGCCTTTGTAGCACTGGGGCTGCCTTCCTTCCCTGAGACCTGGTGACCCAGAAACGATAGACTTTGCTTCATGTACAGAATGCCCATTTTCCTGGAAAATGCCTGGATTTATTTTGCTTGGAGAGAAAGAGAGAGAGAGAGAACAAGTGGGAGGAGTGGGTGGGGGAGAAGCAAGCTCCCTGCTGAGCAGGGAGCTGATGCGGGGCTCAATCCCATCATGATGCAAGTCGAAGGTAGATGCTCAACCAACTGAGCTACCCAGGAGTCCCATCCACATTCTTTATAATGGTTATACAGTAATCTAATGTATGTGCATACCATAATTTATTTAACCTTTATTGGTCAACATTTAGGTAGTTTACAGTCTTGTTGTTTCCCCTAAAATGAATATCCATTATATAAGTCAGTTGTCACATGTGACAGTTCAGGTGGGTTTTGATATATTATTTGATATATTGTTCCTGTTACTTATATTTATTTTGTGCGTAGGGATGACTAGAAACCAACCAGCACCATAAATGTCTTGATTGAGCAATAAAGGATTTTCTATCAAAAGCAAAAAAAATTTTTTTTCTAGGTGTTTTATTTTTTTAGTTACTATTAAATGGGCTCTTCTCTTCCATCTTGTTTTCTAACTGGTAGTTGTTTGTGCTTTTATCTTCACTCCACTTCAACAATTATTTACCTGATTAATACAGTTATACTCTGAACTTAGATCCATATAAAGAATCTCAAACTCAGTGTCACACTCCTTTGCCCAGTTGAGTAGACTATGCCCTTATTCACATTCTACTTGCTTTCTGATCTCATCTAGAACTCCACTGCTTTGACTCTTCTACTGTTTTCTAGTTTCCAGTCCTCTTCAGGCCTTACTTCTTGTCATTTCTTGGAATCTATGTCAAATCACTTGACTTCGCAAACTCTCAGTTTTCCTCCTTTAGTTCCACCCATCTAACAGGGCCTCAGCCTGAGCTCTACAAAGCCTTTCTGGTGCCGAGTAGAACAGGAGAAATGGCATAGGCATAGACACTGGAAACCACAAATCCACAGGGCAAAATCTCATTTGGATCCTGCTTGGTAATCTCTTTGGTCAGCTACCATTAACCTTAGTAAACTAGAGCAAGTGCTCCTCAAATTCTGTACTTACTCCCACCATTCCTTTACATTCAACAGGAGACCTTGCCTTCAACCTTACCAAGAAAATAGAAAATAACCATGCGTGAACTCCCCCAAATCTGTCACGAACAAACTTACTTACATACAAAATCACCCTAATCTCTTTCCTAATCCCACTTCCATCTCTTCTAGAACCTTGCTCCGTATTTTGTATCTATTTTCTGCTTACTCCCTCTTTTAACCCCTCCTCTTCAGTATTATAAACAAGCTAAAACCATTCCTGCTTAGAACAACCCTCTTTTGACCCTACCTTCTATTCTCCCATATATCCTATATTGTCTCCCTTTCTCATTCTAGCACCTTGTAAGAATACTGCGTACTTACCAGGTCTACCTTTTTACCTCCTGTTCACTCAACAATGTACTAACTGGTAACTACTAATCACTCCCCTGTTATTTCTCTTATTAATTAATATAATTACTAACCTCTTTGTTGCTAAATCCACTGGACATTTTCTAGATCTTACCTTAGTGAGGAAGATGTTTCTAGGTAAATAGGCATCAGGAGATGCCAGTAAGGCAAGCAGTACCCCAGAGGGCAAGCCAGAATTAGATGAGTCCATCAACTGAAATGTTTTACCACATCCTCATAAGAGGAACCAGTCACTGTGTTCCTGTGTCTTATAGGATAATGCAAAAATGCAAGCTGTCTCCTTGGAGGAGATGGCCAGGCTGCTTATTCCCGACAAGGAATGAGCAAGTCATTTGTTCAAGCTGACCTGTGAACCAAGAGCCTTAGGCATCCACAAAATAAGTTCTGGAAATTTTCTCAAGTTAGCGATTATTTTCTCTAGCTGGGGGTCTGTGGATAGAGACATAATGGGAGACAGCTTGGAGCCTACGAATGGATACGCCTGTGGGGAAAAAAATACATACCTAAGGGAAGTTCTTTGCTGTAAGTGCCTATGCTGGCAATTCACGTGGGAAGGGAGTTTTTCATTTTCTTCCTTTAGTTTTCTACTTCCCAGGTTTCAAAGTGTGGAGATTCATAGAAATAACATCACCTACTGTTGTTGGGGAAAGTGTTAGGGGTTCCTGAAAAAATGTTTTATTAGCTTCTATCCATGGGATGCCAGCACTGGTCAGACCAAAATTTAGGTTCATTGAGGCTGAAAGAGGAACAGGTTTCCTACTCAAGATGACCTGGAGCACTAGAAGCAAGAAGGACAGCCAAGTCAAAGCCACCTTGAAAAAGAAGCTGAAGTTTGAATGACAGAAAACCAAGTCCAAATGGGAAAAACAGGTGCCAGAGCAAAGAATCAGGGTGGAAACTAAATAGAGATGGGGTAGCTTAGCCTGGCTTAATAAACTAGAGTATAAAATACCTAACTCAGTATCTGGCATACATTTAAAAGTCAACTACTTACTAATATAACCAGGCAGAACATTGTAGGTGGTATGCCAACAATAGGGAGCTAAGGTTTGGGGGTTTTTTTTGTTTTGTTTTTTGGTTAAGAACTCTCATATTTAATGGGTGCTTTAAAGAGAGTGTAACGTAAACAGATCCAGGTTTTGAAATACTTAATTAAAATGATAGCGTGACATTCATAAACAAAAATATAATCTAAAAATCTGGGAAGAGAATATGGGTGAAATATTGAGGCTAAAAATATAGAAATGGGAAAATACCATAGAAGGGTTACTTAAAAGCAATGTACTACAGAGCAGAGCAACAAGCCTGTAGGAATGCATGCCTTTAGAAGAATAAAAAGGGAGAGAAAGCAGTGAGGGGGCAGATAGAGATACTGGACACAGACTACAAGAGGCAAGAATTGTGTACATCACAAGCCAGAGTGGAAGAAAATTTCAAGAAAGTAAAGTCAACACAATCCAATGCAACAAGATTAGAGGAGACAATAACTGTTTCCTTTGTTTGTTTGTTTTAGCCACTGGATTTGAATGAAGGAAGTTAGTGGTAATCTCCAAGAGGACAATTTTAATAGTACAGATCGGATAGGGGTCATATCACAAAGGTAATCAAGAGAATTAAAATTGAGGCTATGCGTTTTAGACAAGTTTAAAGAGTTTGATAATAAAAGGAAAAAATGAAAAGTAGGTAAAAAATGGCAGAAGATCTTTGATATGGAAAAGAAAGATTTAAAGAATACTGAGAGGATGTATTAATAAAAAACAGAAAGTGCTATGTGGAGATTTGCAACATCAAGGTATTTATGAACGTTAAAATTAATACCTTCACACTAACTTTTGTGTTGTGTGAGTTTTTTAATAATAAGTATATATTATCTGTTTAATTAGAAAAAAATAAGAGGGCCATTTCCACTTTGGAACAAAGTCAAATATAAACTGAATTTTTAAAAAGGCCTCAGTATTCTTTAAATCCCAGAGGTAGAGACTTGGAGCACAGTCAATTGAATATTTCAGAAGCAATTGCTTCTCTTCACTGAGCAGCAAATACCCAAATGCTTGCTCCTCACCTGTGTGAGTATCCAGTGGGCTCTCTCTTTCCATCACCCACTGCTCCTCTTGCTCCAAATGAGAGATCACCTCTGGCTTATAAAGTTGATGCCCTATTCATGGAAAAAATGTATGTCATAGAAGTTTGTATGAGGAACAAAAATTTCGCTCAGAACTCATTTCCAACCTTTTTGGTCTTTAGGGCCTCTGGATTTGGAAAGGGGAAACTTCAGAGGCAGCAAAATAAGGCTAGCCATCTCAAACTCAATAAAGTCAAGACCTTTTACCTGAGGAGAAACAGCAGGAAACAAAGGTCCTCTGTCTCCAGCACTGATTAGCCTTCTGTCCTGGCCTGAACTACATTCACAAAAGATTTAGAAATTTTCACCACTTAAGGAAATAAACCCATTTAGAATAGTTTCTACTTTTACAGGGACAACATCCTTACCCAGTGCTACCAGATTCCTGTAGTTCTCCAGCATCACATCTCGGTAAAGGTTCTTCTGAGCAGGGTACAGCTGGTCCCACTCTTCTCTGGTGAAGTTCACTGCCACGTCCTGGAATGTCAGTGATTCCTGAAAATATTAAGTACATCCCTGCTTAGCCAGAAACCAGTTTTTACAGGGACCCATTGGGGAAGGGGCAAAGTGCAGCAGTGAAAAAGGTTAGAATGTCTGAGCCGTTGTGCTGTCTTCAGGGCTCTCTCTCAGTAATCTAGGTCAAAATTTTTGGAACAACAGTATCTATCATCTTTCAAGTCAGACATAAAAACATGCATGAAGTAATGCTTGCTTTTAAGGTTTTTACAGTTTGTTGCAAGGGAAAGACTCTCATCATCTAAACAATTAAAAAATATGGGAAATTTATGCTGTAAGATTTCAGAAATAAGAGATTTCAGAATTGATTGAAATACTGTAAGGAGGTGTCAAGTTGGTGGATTTTGTGTATCCTTAACAGATTTTTAAACTCTGGACAGAACTGGAGAGAGGATAATCCAGTGGGTTAAAAAAAAAAAAAAAGCAAAAAGGGCAAACAGTTGGTTCAGAGTAGGAGACACATGATGCATGTGGGGATCAGTAAAAGAGACTGCCTCATTACAGTTAGGAAATTCAAATAAAAAAGGGTCACCTCTAAATTTTCTCCACTGTCAATGTTTTTTTTTATTACGTTATGTTAATCAAATAACAACTATGTTATGTTAATACACCATTAGTTTTTGATGTAGTGTTCCATGATTCATTGTTTGTGTATAACACCCAGTGCTCCATGCAGTACATGCCCTCCTTAATACCCATTACCAGGCTAATGCATCCCCCCACCCCCCTCCCCTCTAGAACCCTCAGTTTGTTTCTCAGAGTCCACAGTCTCTCATGGTTTGTCTCCCCATCTGATTTCCCCCCCTTCATTCTTCCCTTCCTGCTATCTTCTTTTTTTTTTTTAAACATATAATGTTATTATATGTTTGTTTTTGTTTTACTTGTTTCAGAGGTACAGAGTAGTTCAGAGGTGATTCAACAGTCTTAAACAATTCACAGCGCTCACAATAGTACATACTCTCCCCAGTGTCTATCACCCAGCCACCCCATCCCTCCCAAACCCACCACTCCAGCAACCCTCAGTTTGTTTCCTGAGATTAAGAATTCCTCATATCAGTGAGGTCATATGATACATGTCTTTCTCTGATTGACTTATTTCGCTCAGCATAATACCCTCCAATTCCATCCACATCGTTGCAAATGGCAAGATATCATTCCTTTTGATGGCTGCATAATATTCCACTGTGTGTGTGTGTGTGTGTGTGTGTGTGTGTGTGTGTGTCCATATATCACATTTTCTTTATACATATATCTGTCGATGGACATCTTGGCTCTTTCCATAGTTTGGCTATAATGGAAGTTGCTGCTATAAACATCAGGGTCCATGTACCCCTTCAGATCCCTACATTTGTATCTTTGGGGTTAATACCCAGTAGTGCAATTCCTGGATCGTAGGGTAGTTCTATTTTCAACTTTTTGAGGAACCTCCATACTGTTTACCAGAGTGGCTGCACCAGCTTGCATTCCCACCAACAGGTCGGAGGGTCCCCCTTTCTCCACATCCCCACCAACATCTGTCATTTTCTGACTTGTTAATTTTAGCCATTCTGACGGGTGTGAGGTGGTATCTCATGGAGGTTTTGATTTGGATTTCCCTGATGCTGAGCGATGTTGAGCACATTTTCATGTGTCCATTGGCCATTTGGATGTCTTCTTTGGAAAAATGTCTGTTCATGTCTTCTGCCCATTTTTTGATTGGATCATTTGTTCTTTGGGTGTTGAGTTTAAGAAGTTCTTTATAGATTTTGGATACTAGCCCTTTATCTGATATGTCATTTGCAAATATTTTCTCCCATTATGTTGGTTGTCTTTTGGTTTTGTTGACTGTTTCTTTTGCTGTGCAAAAGCTTTTTATCTTGATGAAATCCCAATAGGTCATTTTTGCCCTTGCTTCCCTTGCCTTTGGCGACGTTTCTAGAAAGAAGTTGCTGTGGCTGAGGTCGAAGAGGTTGTGCCTGTGTTCTCCTTTAGGATTTTGATGGACTTCTGTCTCATATTTAGGTCTTTCAACCATTTTGAGTCTATTTTTGTGTGTGGTGTAAGGAAATGGTCCAGTTTCCTTCTTCTGCATGTGGCTGTCCAATTTTCCCAACACCATTTGTTGAAGAGATTGTGTTTTTTCCACTGGACATTTTTTCCTGCTTTGTTGAAGATTAGTTGACCATAGAGTTGAGGGTCCATTTCTGGGCTCTCTATTCTGTTCCACTGATCTATGTGTCTGTTTTTGTGCCAGTACCATACTGTCTTGATGATGACAGCTTTGTAATAGAGCTTGAAGTCCGGAACTGTGATGCCACCAGCTTTGCTGTTCTTTTTCAACATTCCTCTGGCTATTCAGGGTCTTTTCTGGTTCCATACAAATTTTAGGATTACTTGCTCCATTTCTTTGAAAAAACTTGATGGGATTTTGATAGGGATTGCACTGAATGGGTAGATTGCTCTACGTAGCATTGACATCTTCACAATATTTGTTCCTCCAATCCATGAGCATGGAACATTTTTCCAATTCTTTGTGTCTTCCTCAATTTCTATCATGAGTATTTTATAGTTTTCTGAGTACAGATTCTTTGCCTCTTTGGTTAGATTTATTCCTAGGTATCTTATGGTTTTGGGTGCAATTGTAAATGGGATCGACTCCTTAATTTCTCTCTCTTCTGTCTTGTTGGTGTATAGGAATGCCACTGATTTCTGTGCATTGATTTTATATCCTGCCACTTTACTGAATTCCTGTATGAGTTCTAGCAGTTCTGGGGTGGAGTCTTTTGGGTTTTCCACATAAAGTATCATATCATCTGCAAAGAGTGAGAGTTTGACTTCTTCTTTGCCGATTTGGATGCCTTTGATTTCTTTTTGTTGTCTGATTGCTGTGGCTAGGAATTCTAATACTATGTTGAATAGCAGTGGTGAGAGTGGACATCCCTGCCGTGTTCCTGACCTTAGGGGGAAAGCTCTCAGTTTTTCCCCATTGAGAATGATATTCGCTGTGGGTTTTTCATAGATGGCTTTTATGATATTGAGGTAGGTACCCTCTATCCCTATACTCTGAAGAGTTTTGATCAAGAAAGGATGCTGTACTTTGTCAAATGCTTTTTCTGCATCTATTGAGAGGATTGTATGGTTCTTGTTCTTTCTTTTATTAATGTATTGTATCACATTGATTGATTTGAGGATGTTGAAACAACTTGCAGCCCAGGGATAAATCCCAATTGGTGGTGATGAATAATCCTTTTAATGTACTGTTGGATCCTATTGGCTAGTATTTTGGTAAGAATTTTTGCATCCATGTTCATCAAGGATATTGGTCTGTAATTCTCCTTTCTGATAGGGTCTTTGTCTGGTTTTAGGATCAAGGTAATGGTGGCCTCATAAAATGAGTTTGGAAGTTTTCCTTCCATTTCTATTTTTTGGAACAGTTTCAGAAGAATAGGTATTAATTCTTCTTTAAATGTTTGGTAGAATTCCCCTGGGAAGCCATTTGGCCCTGGGCTTTTGTTTGTTGGGAGATTTTTGATGAATGCTTCAATATCCTTCGTGGTTATAGGTCTGTTCGGGTTTTCGATTTCTTCCTGGTTCAGTTTTGGCAGTCAGTACATCTCTAGGAATGCATCCATTTCTTCCAGATTATCTATTTTGCTGGCATATAGTTGCTCATAATATGTTCTTATAATTGTTTGTATTTCTTTGGTGTTGGTTGTGATCTCTCCTTTTTCATTCATGATTTTATTTATGTGGGTCATTTCTCTTTTCTTTTTGATAAGTCTGGCCAGGGGTTTAACAATCAGTTGTTAATTCTTTCAAAGAACAAGGTTCTAGTTTTGTTGATCTGATCTACTGTGTTTCTGGTTTCTAGTTCATTGATCTCTGCTCTGATCTTTATTATTTCTCTTCTGCTGGGTTTAGGCTTTATTTGCTGTTCTCTCTCCAGCTCCTTTAGGCGTAGGGTTAGGTTGTGTATTTGAGACCTTTCTTGTTTCTTGAGAAGGGCTTGTATTGCTATATACTTTCCTTTCAGGACAGCCTTTGTTGTATCCCAAAGATTTTGAACAGTTGTGTTTTCATTTTCATTTGTTTCCATGAATTTTTAAATTTTTTAAAAAATTTCCTGGTTGACCCATTCATTCTTTAGTAGGATGCTCTTTAGCCTCCATGTATTTGAGTTCTTTCCGACATTCCTCTTGTGATTGAGTTCTAGTTTCAAAGCATTGTCGTCTGAAAATATGCAGGGAATGAACTCAATCTTTTGGTACCGGTTGAGACCTGATTTGTGACCTAGGATGTGATCTATTCTGGAGAATGTTGCATGGGCACTAGAGAAGAATGTGTATTCTGTTGCTTTGGGATGGAATGTTCTGAATATATCTGTCAAGTCCATTTGGCCCAGTGTGTCATTTAAAGTCTTTATTTCCTTATTGATCTTTTGCTTAGATGATCTGTCCATTTCAGTGAGGGGGGTGTTAAAGTCCCCCACTATTATTGTATTGTTGTCAATGTGTTTCTTCGCTTTTGTTATTAATTGGCTTATATAATTGGCTGCTCCCATGTTAGGGGCATAGATATGTACAATTGTTAGATCTTCTTGTTGGATAGACCCTTTAAGTATGATATAGTGTCCTTCCTCATCTCTTATTATAGTCTTTGGTTTAAAATCTAATTTGTCTGATATAAGGATTGCCACCCCAGGTTTCTTTTGGTGTCCATTAGCATGGTAAATGGATTTCCACCCCCTCACTTTCAATCTGGGGGTGTCTTTGGGTCTAAAATGAGTCTCTTGCAGATAGCATATCTATGGGTCTTGTTTTTTAATCCAATCTGATAGCCTGTGTCTTTTGATTGGGCCATTTAGCCCATTTACATTCAGGGTAACTATTGAAAGATATGAATTTAGTGCCATTGTATTGCCTGTAAGGTGAGTGTTACTGTACATTGTCTGTGTTCCTTTTTGGTCTATGTTACTTTTAGGCTCTCTCTTTGCCTAGAGG